AGATAATTAGGTTAGATTTATTGCTTTTAGGATTTTGGTCAATATTAAACAATTTAATAAATGTGATATTAAATAGAAATTTGAAATTAAAAATATTAAATATTTTAATTAAAATTAATAAATAATAAATTAATGAATAAAGTTGGTTGGCCGATATTAACCGACTAACCAACTTTTTAGCATATTAGCATTATCGACCCAACTATACATGGGTTGGTTGACATTATCGACCCAACTTAAATGGGTCGGTTGATGGTTGATTAACCATTATAAATTGTGGGTCGAAAATGGGTTGGTTGGTGGTTAAAACCGATCCATGCACAGCCCTAAGTACCGTTACTCAGGGCCGGTTCTGAGGAGAGGCCGGTTCTGAGGAGATGTGAAGTAGGCGGTCGCCTAGGGCCCCCGAATTTTTACGAAAATTTGAGGCCCCCAAATTATTTTATATACACTTTATATATTATTACTTATTTTTAAAATTTTATTATATAAAATATTTTGGAACATTGGTTCTAAAATAAATTTAAGCTAAATGATCAAGAGATATTTTTTCAATTTTCTTAACTTTAGGGCCCCTAAATATTAAATTTATAATGTCTTAATTACTTATGTTTATTGTAAAATAAGAATCATATATTTATTAGTGTATTCAAGTTTGTAAATATTTATTAAGTCTATTTGCTATAAAGATTATTGTCACGGGAGGAAGTGAACCAGCAAATCATATTGTTAATTTTGATTTTTTTGTTTTTTTTTTTTTTTTGTTTTTTTTTTTTTATATTTTTAGTTACTTTATACTCATACATTTCAAAAAATATTTTGGGTGCACTGCCCCGAACCTCCACAATCTTTTATTTCATAATTTAAAAAAAAATATTATTTATATTTTTTAGTACATTCAATTTCGAACACCCATTAATAAAAAAAAGGGTTTATCAAATAGGGGCCCCTGTTTTTAGTTGTTCGTTAAACCTCGCCTAGGGCCCCCAAATTCTCAGGAACGGGCCTGCGACGTTACTGTTACCGTATCAAGATATTTTAATATAATAAAGTACAGAACAATGATCATTCAATAAAGATACAATTGGTAAATAATTAGTATGGTTTAATAGGGCAATCGATTGAATGGATAATATAATAAAAATATTCTCTCTAAGTTTTGTGATACGACATATTATTTATTATATTATTTAGTTAATTGTTTAGTTAATATTTTATTATTAATCAATTAGATTAGTATATTCATGATAATATACGCCGTGAGTTTTGTATTTAGGAGATTATTTAGTATTTTATTAGTTTAGGTAATTATCTTTTCTAGTTAGATTAGGATTCTAGGTTTTATTATCTTTAAATAGTCGTCTTGTGCTAGGGTTTTTATTATGAAGAGAGAAATATTAAAGAATAGATCTTACGTTTCGTAGGAAATATTTATGATACTCGAGAGATCGCATCAATTGGTATCAGAGCGAAGTTGCGATTAACACCAACGCTTCGTTAGCAAGGCAGCGATTACATCAAAGCTACGCTGGAGCAAAGTTGAGATTACATCAAAACTTTGTGAAAATCATGATGTCAGAAACAAGACGGTTAGAGCGATTGGAGAAATCCGTAGAGAGATTACGGATTGATTTTCAGAAATTGCTCGAACAAAGTCAAGGACGACGCCATCATCAAAGCCGAAGGGACCGCCGGCAAACACCCCCCACGCCACCGCCGCTGCCGCTGCCGAACCTATTGCCGGAGGAAGAGGAAGATGACGATGATGACTTTTTCGAAGAGCCACCACCACCGCCAAAGATGCCGAGTCTATCGCCAGAGGAAGAGGAAGAGGACGACGATATCTTTTTCGAAGAACCCCAAATTTTTGTGAGTTCGCCAGAAGAAGAGGAATCGGATTCAACTGAGATGAAGTGGGACGAAGGGCCGAAAGAAGAAGAATCGGAGTCAACTGAGATAAAGTGGGACGAAGACGAAAAATTAACCAGAGAGGAGAGCGAAGAGCTACAATGGATATTAGAAGAGTCTCACGATATTCAAAAGGAAGGAGACGAAGAACCGATGCATGAACAAGGTATTAAAAAGCTCGGTTGTTCATCGTGTTTTTCGGAGTCAATCGGGAAGCAAGTCGATGAAGTCAAACATAGATGGAAACACAGAAAAAAAGAGACGATTATTGGGCAGAACCTTGAGGACAAGGTTCATTTCAAGAGGGGTGGTTTGATACGACATATTATTTATTATATTATTTAGTTAATTGTTTAGTTAATATTTTATTATTAATTAATTAGATTAGTATATTCATGATAATATACGCCGTGAGTTTTGTATTTAGGAGATTATTTAGTATTTTATTAGTTTAGGTAATTATCTTTTCTAGTTAGATTAGGATTCTAGGTTTTATTATCTTTAAATAGTCGTCTTGTGCTAGGGTTTTTATTATGAAGAGAGAAATATTAAAGAATAGATCTTACGTTTCGTAGGAAATATTTATGATACTCGAGAGATCGCATCATTTTGGACATGGATCGAGCATGCTGGCAATTTCATCATGAACTCTACCGATACATTATCAAAATATTATTCCATATATTTGCTTAATGAAGATATATAGCATGCAATAAAAAGGGTAAATAAACGTAACTAAGAGGGTGTTTGGCTTAACTTATAAGATGTTAAAAGAAGCTTATAAAATGTTTTAGAGCTTATAAGCTCTTCCAAAGTGTTTGGTATTTTTTTTTAAAAGATCTTATTTTTTAAGAAAATAAGCTGTTGGAAAGCAAATAAGATCTTTTTAAATAAGTACCTCTACCCCACCTTTTTATTTAAGATTTTATAATGAGTAAAAATAGGAAATAAGCTCATTATCCAAACACTCTAAACATTAATCCTTAAAATAAGATGTAACAACTTATCAGCTCTTAAAACATCTTATCAGACGTAAGAGCTTATCAGCTTTTTAAAATAAGCTTAGCCAAACACCCTCTAAGTCTAAAAGAGAGAAATGAAAAATAAATATAGGTGGAAAACACATCTTTTGATAGTGAGATCCACAAAAGGTGATTCCCATGGGCACATACTTCTTGAAAAATATGCCCTACAATACCCTACTTCATCTCCATTATTAAGAACATAAAATAGTCATCCAAATTATAAGTCAAAAGAAATACTTAATTATGTTAAAGTAATTGTTCATTATTTCTTGAATTAGTATACACCAAGTCATACATGTATATAAATATATATTAAATTCAAGAGAAAATTAAGCAGTGTGATCAAATTACGAAAAAAAACTTATTTTGTTTGAATAATTACAGTCACCCATCAATCATTAATGCCTTACACGTCCACACTTACATTGTTAAAGTTACCTAATGAAAGAAGAAGATTCAAAAGACAATTACATAATAGAGAAAAGTGATTGTAATAATCCAAACAAGATGGATTTTTTTGTAATTTGACCATACCTCAGAGAAGTGGCCGTAATTTATCCTAAATTTATACATGTCCTTTTCTTTTCAATATCCACTATGGTTGTCTCCAAGACAAGAATTCTTGATGGATCACTTTGATACTCTCTTTTATTTTGCTTCCTAGTCATATCCACACACACACACACACACACACACACACACATATGTATATATATATATATATATATATATATATATATATATATATATATATATATATATATATGTCAAGGGGCAAACAAAAGGAGAGGAAGGGGAGGGGGAGGGGGAAAGAGAAAAAAAAAAAAAAAAAACACCCCCCCATATATAAATATAAAAAAAAAAATGTATATAGAGATGGAGAAGCACGCGGACACGAAGAAAAAAAAAGGACATGCGCACACACCCGCCTCCCCTTTTCCCGCTCAGAAACACCGAGATACACAGATAGAAAGAGAAAAAAAAAAAAAAAGGGATGGGGGTATATATGGAAGAACAAAGAAGGGAGAGTGAAAAAAAAAAAAAAAAATAGAGCAGACTCGCGCTCTCGACATTTCTAACTCCTTCTCTCTCTCTCTCTCTCTCTCTCTCTCTCTAAAAATAAAAAACACAGAGGCAAACTCTCTCTCTCTCTCTCTCTCTCTCTCTGTCTCTGTCTTTTTCATCGCGCTCCCATGAGTCTGTCTATTTCGATGCGGTCTCTCACTCAGTCTCTCTCACACACCCACCCGCAACGCGCGACCGTAATCACCGAATTAAAATCCAAAGAGTGGGGAGCACCCGCTGTCGCTCCCTCTCCCACCCGAG